TATTCCCTAACCATCTTGGTGAGCGCCCTACTTCCACAATTCAAGTTCTTACAACGAGAACGTGAGACATAGGACTTTTATAATTTTTTTGCTAGATCATGTACTTTTATTTGGATAAGCATTCCGAATCGGTGAAGAAAAAACCCATTATTTAAGTATTGTATCTTTATGAATGATGTCGATCAGCGCCGCAACTCTGCCCAACCAAACCCTTTTACCTAAAAACAGATCTAAGATATTTTGCCCCTATTTCGCGAATTTCGACGCCTGATGAAATTCTCCCGGACCTCGCTTCATACCCGATTCCGTATTCGTCCGGGATAACGTCCGGCTGCGTCCTTTCTACATCAATGTCGGAGACGAAAATTGTCCGGAAATTCATTTTTACTCATTTATAGTACATTCCAAAATAAGGGGCTTTTGAAAAAAAAGACATTCAATATCTCAATTGATGTACATTTTAAGTGTTTCTAAAAGAGATTCACCTGGTTGACAGTATGTACAAATAAGATGGATGACAGCTGAAAGCCAAAGCAAGCTTCCGTGTTAGCCTCGAACGGAAGTATTTCAGGGCGAAGGTGCTAAATAGAATGCCAATCTGAAGCAATTGCATTCTCCTTGTCCTCGCAAGCATCGTGCGAGAGTCCTGACATTCCTGGCAATTGCTGATTACGCAGATGAGCGTATTTGTCTTTTTTGTATTTACGCTGACTAAAAGCCGGTTGACCTGTCGCTTGTAAGTACTTCCGAAGCTTCCCATGCACGTCTAGGGTACTAGGGAGGCCAATATAACGCACGCGTTTTCCGGAAATTTGTATCGTCTACAAAATAGGTTCAGATAACATCGACGACGTATAGATGTAGGTAGACAGGAGATTATTGCTTACGTAATCTGTTTAGAAGCTGGAAATGACGAGAAATAGTAGATTAAGAATACTGCACACAGTGGACCCCGGTCAATCCATCCACGTTGGCCAAGAGCGTCTGGGACACATTACGCAGCTGGCTCAAATTTTCCCAAGGAAAGAAGAAAGCCACTGGATACGAGCTAGCTTGACAGTTAGATCCTTGCTTTGGCGATGTTGTTTCAGAGGCGATCGCAGGAGTGCTTCAAAACAGGTGTATTCCTCATTCGGTTTTCATCGTTTTAACATCTCATATATTATCTTGGACTCAAGCCAGTCTTCCAACAGCTAACCATAACAGGAGGATAGTTTTTTGTTCCTTAGTTAATAAAAAATAGTTAGTAGCAACTTTTTCCGCGGCATTTTAACTATGCAGAAGCTAGCGGCGTGAATACGCTACAGTTGCCCTGACCGTCCTTATTCACAAATCCGATTTTCCAGGATGGAACGCCACTGCGTCCATCGGCGTCCCGCTAGTGTACCCGCTTATTCTCTTGCGTTGAGATGCCGCAATTGACCTATGCGGACCATGTAAATAATTGGAGATAAACCGACTATCCGCTTACTTCTTCAATGGGAAAGCAATTCTCTTAAACTTTCCACCCTAAATTCTGCCTTGGAACAGTCATCGGTCCAAAGAACTTAATATTTTCAAAATAAGAATAGTAAATTAATTTTAATACACACAGTTAGTTTCTGTTTCCCAATATGTGCGGCTGGCCCAAATGGCCGGAGGCTCGATTAACAGAAATCCAGTGTAAGCGAGGATATCGGCAAACCTCGACAACCAGGGAGATCAAATAAAAATAACTACTTAATTTCTTTAGTAGCTCTGATTTTTCTACATAAAGGTAGGAAGATGTGTAATGGTCTATCAAAATAAAAGTACGGTAATTTCACTGGGACTGGAATCTTACATCAAGATGCAGAGGGTCGACGGAATCCAGCGGTGAAACTACTTCCACACCGGAGTCCAATTCTAAATTAAGAAAGCCGTCCATACTAGCGAGGCGTCCGGTAATAAGGGTGTCATCCAGAAGTGTGACCGACACCCTTTTGCCTGTCATGGCAGCCGGGAAGATGGCTAAAAGAGACGATGACAGTCTCTTTTTCGCACCCAAGAAGAACTTTGCCTCGCGTTCAGCCTAGAAAGAGAGAAAGGGGAGCATAAGACGAGTTGACAGGTCCTTGGTCAGTAGAAAACTCGATTTAGAGGGTTTTAAAATTGCACCAGTACGTCTCTGTAGGACGTCAAGTCTCCTTTTAACTATGTAGCTTAACGAGCAGGGTATAAGCACCTTTCTGGACCACTGGCTTTTGTGTTCCCATTGGTTTAAAATCAAAAGTAGCCCCTTTGCCGTTCTCTAAATTCTTCTGTAACGCCAAAAGTTTTGGAAGTGTTGGAGACGTGCCAGTTGATGTAGTCTTCACATTAACGGGACCTTGCTAATTAACCCTCCATCTACTGCTTGTTTACAATTGACGTTTTAGTCGCAGTTGTGCAGCTGGTCTCTATGGAAACAGCATTTCCGCCCGCTTTTAAGCATGGTAAAGATAGCTTTCCCCGCCAAGGACTGCTGTTTCCGCAGGTGCATTCGGATGGATCCCCCATCCTTGCCTGAATAATAAGACGTCCGCAAGGAGGAAAATGGGACAGCTGACTGATGGATATTGACTCCTAGACCTGAATATTGAGACCCCACGGTGTTTAAGCTGAATAACATTCTATTAGAGGAGACGGGGAAAAGTCTAAAGGATTAAGGGAGAACACTCGCCGAGGCTACATTCAGACGAATCTTGTTAAATATACAGGCACAGCGGGTTGTAAGTGGATCACTTATGACAATACAAATGGCCCAACGAGTCGAGGGACGCATATAGCTTCACTTCGCTGGAAAAC